ATTAGAGACTTAAGAAGGGAATCAATGTCTAAGGCAGGGAGAATTTGGTACTCCAGGATTGGTCTCTCACAAGCTATATCCATAAGAAAAAGTATGTTCTTCTTATCATTGAGAATCAATTCCTACTGATTATGATATGAAGACTTCAGGTCTTTGCTAAGGACAGTTGAACACACAGGCTTTTCCATGGCTAACCTGGAATTATGAGACTCCACTTCAACTTCTCCTGTACTTTTCTCAGCACCTGGGAAATGAGGGGAAAAGGAGGGACGGGTCACATCACGCTGAGATTTCATGGAACAGAGACTGTGTCTATCTTTAGTGCAAGGGGCCCCTATATCTGCTTCAGAACTGAGGCACTTTACAGCTGTAGCTTGTGGCAAACGTGTATTATTAGAATTTCCCACATCCTGCACATCTGGTAAAATACTTGTGGATTGAAGCTCCCTGTGATGTATGCTGGAACTGCCGAGCCAAACTGCTCTGATGCTGACTTTCCCAGATATGTGGATTGCTTTGAATGTCACAAGATTCTTTTCTGCCCATTTCAGGAGCTATAGTGCACCCCTCCCCAAGTGTGGTAAGATACCACCACAGCATTGCCTAAAAGGACGGATGCAAGTGTAAAACAGAATAGCTTGTGATGCAGAAGTGGCAGGTGAACTGCTTTTATTTCCAGTCTGCTCCGATGAACATGCTTCTCGCTCTTTGAGCACTTAATGTGGTTCATATGAACTCTCTTGGCAAGGAAACTGGCATGTGCCATTACAATGGTCCAGGCAGGATGTGAGTATGAAAATCCCTTGAGAAAAGTAGTAGGCAGGTCTCACCAGAGCAGAGATTTCCTGATGTTCCTCTGGCAGGGTTTTCTTTTGCAGAAAATGACATTTGTGCTTTTGTGAGAACGGAAGAAAGTGAAGATTTGCTGTGAACCAAAGAGCTGCAGGACAGCATGGTACTTAGAGGATGTCCTGGTTACTAGTGAAACAATAGTCTAGAGCAGTGGTTCCCAATCTTTTTGATACTAGGGACCAGTAAACTCATTCACAAGCTTTTGGAGGACTGGTAACATTTATTTGCATATTTGCATATTTATTAAGAAATGATGAATATGCAAATAAATTGTGTTGCTGGCCCTACCTGTCTGGTGAGTTGTTCCACCCCCCTCCTGGCCCAATCCCGGCTGCTTTATCAGCCGGCACCTTTCTGGGCAAAAACCCCCTCTTGTGCAAGAGCTGTTCTTCCACATTTTTTTCAGGAAGAACAGCTCTTGCGCAAAAGACTCTTGTGCAAAAATGGAGCCTAATTAATTATGCAAATGAGGCATGGTGATATTCCATGCTTCACCTCATTTGCATATTTTTTGCACAAAACGGGAGCAGTGTAGACATAGCCATAACGTAAAAAAAGACGAGGGAAGACAAAGGAAATCTGAAGGTAGCATACCTCAGCAATAAGCACAACTTGATGACTACACATCATTTGAAAGTAATTTTTATTTTTTTATTAGGGCTGATGATTAATAGGTTAACTCACATGATTAACTAAAAAAATAAATGTAATAAAAAATTAAATCATGATTGAGCAGTTTTAATCTCACTGCTAAACAATATACCAAATTGAAATTTATTAAATATTTTAGATGTTTTTCTACATTTTCAAGTGCAACATAGAATACAAAGTGTACAGTGCTCAGTTTATATTATTTTTATTACAAATATTTGAACTATAAAAATGATCAACAAAAACAGTTATTTTTCAATTTACCTCATACAAGTACTGTAGTGTGATCTCTTTACTGTGAAAATCCAACTTACAAATGTTGATTGTAACATAACTGTACTCAGAAACAAAACAAAACTTTAGAGCTTACAAGTTCACTCAGTTGTACTTCTTGTTCAACCAATTGCTAAGAGAAACAAATTTGTTTACATTTGCGTGAGGTAATCCTACCTGTTCATTTACAATGTAACCTGAAAGTGAGAACAGGGGTTTGCATGGCACTTTTGTAGCAGGCATTGCAAAGTATTACCTGCCAGATATGTTAAACATTCATATATCCTTTGTGCTTTGGTCACCAAACTTCCAGAGGACATGCTTCCATGCTAATGATGCTCATAAAAAAATAATGCATTAATTATATCTATGACAACTCTTGGGAGATATCTGTATGTTTTCTGCTTTGTTTTATCCACATTCTGCCATGTATCTCATATTACAGAAGTCTCAAATGATGACCCAGTCAAGTTGTTCATTTTAAGAACACTTGCACTAGATTTGAAAAAAAAAAGTTAACAATGATTTCTAAAGATAGCTAGTAGCTACAACACTTGACCCTGTCTTCTCAAATCTGAGGGACAAGGTGAGGAACATACTTTCAGAAGTCTTTAAAGAACATTTTGATGTGGAAACTATAGAACATATATCAACAAAAACAAAAAACAAAACAAACCCCAAAAGCCAAAGCTATCCTTCTGACTCATGATGAAAATGAACATGTTCTGGTGAACATGTGTCTGCACTGCTTTGGATCGTTGTCAAGCAGAACCTGTTAGCAGCATGTACATTTCCTCTGAAATGGAGGTTGAAACTAAGGGACATGTGAATCTTTAGCACATCTGGCATGTAAGTATTCTGCAATGCTGGCTACACCTATGTCATGCAAACACCTGTTCTGACTTTTAGGTGACACTGTAAAAAAGTGTCCCCGCAAATATAAACAAACTTGTTTGTCTGAGTGGACAAGAAGTAAGACTGAGTGAACTTGTAGGTTTTAAAGTTTTATATTGCTTTATTTTTTAATGAAGTTTTATAAACATAATTCTCTATTTGTATGTTCAGCTTTTATGATAAAGAGATTGCACCACAATACGTGTATTAGGTAAATTAAAAAAATACTTTTTTTTTATGGTGCAAATATTTGTAATAAAAATAAATATAAAGCGAGCACTGTACATGTATTCTGTGTTGTAACTGAAACCAATATATTTGAAAATGCAGAAAACATTCACAAATATTTAAATGAATGGTATACTATTATTGCTTAACAGCACAATTAATTGCAATTTTTAATCACACAATTAATTGTGATTTTTTTAAACTTTGTGACAGCCTTATATTTTACTAACTCTAATTGCTTTCAACACATCATCATTAGTTGGCTACAATCAGAATCTTTGTGAAAATTTGCAGAGCCACAACTTATGGCAGGACCAGTTGCTGATTTTTATTCTTAAGTAATTCTCATGCGATACTTGTAATAGGTACAAGTACAAATAGAGACATGAGTTTTTCAGGTAAGAATTCAGCTAAGAATTCTCAGCTAATATTAGGCTACAGAGATACCATCTTAAATTTCTGGTACTAGAAACAAGAGAGAAAATGCTTTCATTTAGCTGTCCTCAGTAGTCAGGAAGATTGGCACAAATATCCGAGAGGTGCTGGGTATATTTGTTTACGTCATCTTTTTGAAAGGTCAAAGACATAAGGAGAGAACATTTCTTGAGCCTGAGGAAAGTGAAGCTATCTTCTGCTCTTAGGTAGCTGTGGTAGTAATCAAACTGCGGAAATTAGATCAGTATAGGTGTTCTGTTCCTTCCTCTGTTGGCGTTGAGGCTGAATTGTACTGAGCTTAAGAACCTGTCTTCTCTTTGACTTCTTTAAGGCCAATTCCATTTTTTGTCTGAACAGTTCAGATACAGAAGTTACCCCTTCTCAAGGAACATCATTCTTCAGAGAGAACATTTAGCATGGATTTCTACTGAAGAGGCCCTAATATCTCTCTTTCCTTTAAAAAGCCTGTCTGATTCACTGAATATAACCACAAAGCTTTCTCATCAGGGTCTCCCCAAACATAAGCAAATTTTTCCTTAAGTGATTTGTGACAAGGCTTCTTGCTTTTGTGGTGTTTAATAGGGGATTAACCTCTATGGTTAGGTTGAGTGACGGGGAAGCAGTAAAAATTCTGGTTTCCCAGAGGCCTAACTGCGGTAGCCCGCTAGCTTCTGATCAGATATTAAACACGCAAAGGAGGGAAGGGACATTTGCATAGTAGACTCTGCAGCCAGTTTGTATGGGAGCAGGAGTCTGTTCTCACACATTAAAGGTACAAGCCACCTGCTGTTGCCAGTGGCCATTGCCAAATACAGTAGTGGATGTGAATCCTCTTATTAATCTTGTTGTTTCCATTTTTCCAGGCACCTCCTTAACATCAGCAACCACCACTCACTAAGGCAGAGTAGAAACCAGGTCCTGTGAGCACTAGCAGCAGGGTCCCCAAGTGGCAGGAAGACTTCTTTCTTCTGATACATCCTTCATCCTGTCAATCACTTGTCTGCCAGTCACCTGAGGAGGACCTAGTAACATTGATTACTGGACCTACAGTGTGTACTGTAATAACAATGGGGGAAAATGGAATTGGGAAGGAGAGAGACCAGTTCCTAGCAGCCTGTTCAGTGTGGGGTTCAGTATAAAAGAGTGGGAGCCTTTGTGCTGCTCGAGAACATGGTCTGTTATAATTGTTCCATTTGGCCATCTGACAAGAGAAAGAACATGGAAAATATGTGAAAATCTTATTGGCTATTTAATGAACCTAGAAACTGAGCAGGGCCTGAATATATTTGGACTGTATTTTAGGAAGCAGTGGGTTTTCAACTCAGTGTAATCTCCAGTGGCGGAGGCACTCCTTTAACACAAGCAGTTATTTTCATTGCACTAAGCAACTGTGATTGGAGTGGTGCAACAAATCACTACTACAGCTGACAGAAACCACCTGGGCCTTGGGCTTCAGGTCTGGTTCTAAGAACAGCAGCCAATCATGAAAAAAAGTTTGGAAAGCACAAATAAATGGGAGGAGAAAGTAAGATACAAAAATAAGCCACACAAAACAAACATCCAGCAGTGAAACATGACACAACAGTCAGATTTTAAAATACTATCCAATATAATAAAGGACCAAATATTCACTGGGTGTAAATTAATAAATGAAAATATAAACCATATAAACAAAATGAAATTACTTTATTCAAATTGAGTATTCTCATGGCTTCCTGCCAAAATTCAAGATGGCAATGAGACCGTCTCTCATCACATGGTCTGTTTGTCTTCTGTCACTGGTTGTCATGTGGTGTGAGCAGTGCCCAGTAGAGGACAGAGAACCATGGCCATTACAGAACTAGGATGGACTGAAATGAGTGAGTAAATGAGGCTTCATGTTCAAACTTGGACTTTGGGAAGCACAATGCAGACCGCTGGAAGACGTCTGTCTTATATGGGTCTCTATGGCTGGTGAGTGGAATATGGTGTAGGAGAGAAAGAGAAGAAACCTCGGGGGCTCAGTGGCAGAAGTTCTGGGAGGGAATGGTGCCCCTCAGTTCGGAACCATACCCCCAGTTTTCACAGATATGCAACTTCTCTCCTGTCCTTAGGGACTTCTTTGGAATGTGCAGCAGGGCCTCACTGTCACCTTCATCTGGGTGTTAAAGGGAGGGCGGTGTGATGAGCAGTCACTGCTTCTCCTCTCCTTGCCTCTCACTCAGGAGCTATGGCACTGGGCTTCTCACCTGGTGCTCAGGGTTAGTCCATCACTGAGAGTAAGAACTAGAAAAGACATAAAGCAAAGCCTGTGAGTGACCTCAGAAGGGCATTCAGAGTGTAAAACACTGCTGCACTGACCCACTGGATGCAGAAGTAATTAGCACTAGAAATTTGGAATCCCCTGTTGGGCTGCAAACCACACTAAAGCTACACACAAATGCACAGCTCAATATGCTAAAACTGTCAATGATCTAATAGCTTAAAAGCCATAAATATCCTCACCATCCCCCGGACAAAAACTACCCCTTCAGCTGCATATGACTGGCTCCCTGCCTGGCCCATTTGCTCCTCGGAACATCCTGTTAGCCAACGGAACTTTAGAAATGGGCTTGAAATTAGATTGTCTCTTTCCCCAGACTATGTGATTAAGTCTGTTTCTTAAAAAAATTAATGAGACTAAGTCAACATGTATAGCAGATTGCATCCCCTTATCCTCCACTTCTCCAAGAGTTGTAAGAACACAAAGTCTGTCTTTCTATCTCTTCAGGAACTTTTGGGTTCTCAAGGAGTAACATCTGAGAATTTCATAAATAGGGCTCTTCCAAATTTATGTTTCATTTTGATCAATTTCATAGTCACAGGATTTTTAAAATGGTAAATGTCATGATTACTGCTATTTACATCTAAAATGTCACCATATTGTAATTGTAGGGGTCCTGACAAAAAGGAATTATGGGGAGGAGGTTGCAAGGTTATTGTAGTGGGTCTGCAGTACTGCTACCCTTACTTCTGCATTGCAGAAGCAGCTCTGCCTTCAAAGCTGAACAGCTGGACAGTGGTGGCTACTGGTCAGGACCCCAGCACTGAAGACAGAACCTCCAACAGCAGCAGCACAGAAGCAAGGATAGCATGATATGGAATTGCCACCATTCTGTGCTGCTGCTGGCAGGATGCTGCCTTCAGAGGTGGGTTCCTGGGGATAGCAGCTGCACTCTCCAGCTCTCCAGCTCTGAAGGCAACAGAGAACTAAGGGTGGCAATTCCACAACTCCTCCTAAAATAACCTTGCAAGTTCCCTCCAGCAACTCCCTTTTGGGTCAGAACTAGGGATGTAAAAGACTAGTTGACTATTCAATAAGCATTTCCTTATTGGAAAGTCTTTTGACTGGTCGATATCCCCCTCCTTTGCTGCCTCTATAAGATAGAGGCATCAAAGTGTGGGGGGGAGGGTACTTCAAAGTGGCAGCTCCACTATGTGGGCTGTGCGGCGGCTGCCCCTTAAAAACGCCCCTTTGAAAGGTGCAGAAATGGTGTTACAAAGGCACAGCCGCTGCACAGCTGATCCGCAGATCAGCTGTGTGGCGGCTGCCCCTTTAAAACGCCGCTTCTACACCTATCAAAGGGGCAGCTGTGGAGCCCGGGGGCCAGCTAGGGATTCCTCAGCTGATTCCGGGCTTCCCTCATTATTTCCCCAGAACCCAGGATCAGCTAGGGAGTTCCCAGCTGACCCTGGGCTCCACTGCTGAGATCAGCTGTGCGGTGAGATCAGCTGTGCGGTGGCTTCCCTTTTGAAACTGTCACCTCTGCACCTTTTAAAGGGGCAGCTGTGGAACCCGGGGTCAGTTGGACAGTCCCCAGCTGATCCCGGGATCAGCTAGGAAGTCGCCAGCTGACCCCGGACTCCTAGCAGCATGCAGTGTAGCATGGAGCCCGGAGTCAGTGGGGGACTCCAGCTGACCCTGGGCTCCATGGCTTTGAAATGCACAAGAGCCCCTGCTGGGGACTCTTGTGCATTTCAAAGCAGGCATACCGCATGTATGCCCGGAGTCAGCGTGACTTCCTGTTGGCCCCAGGCTGTATGCAGTGTTCCACATTCCTCCTTTGAAATGTACAAGAGCCCCTGCTGGGGCTCTAGTATATTTCAAAGGAGGAATGCGGAAGTGCCTATTGACTAGTCCACTAGTCAGTTAACCACATTTTAACATCCTTAGTCAGAACCCCCAGTTTGAAAAACTCTAGTCTTTCTCATGAACTCTGTATAGTGAAGAGTAGAAGCACACAAAAGACCAGATTTCATGGGGAGAGACCAGATTTCACGGTCCATGATGTGTTTTTCATGGCCATGAATTTGGTAAGGCCTTACTGATAAAAGATTAATGAATTTATCCTCAGAGCATCTGTGCAACAAGGAATTTGCGTCTCCGTTTCACAGACAGGGCAATGAAGCACAGAGGCCCTATAATTTGCCTAAGGTAACACAGTGAGTCTGTGGCACAGCTAGGAAACCAAATCTCTTGAATTCTAGTCTGAAACACAAGATCTTCCTTCTTCCTATAAGGGCTGATAATTCTAGAAACTCATCTGTCTTGGCTCCCTGCAGATAGACTTTCCAATCCTACAGTGCTTCTCTTGGTTAAATAGAGATTATGATGATAAATGGCTTTATTTTTTGTGTGTGTGTGTGTGTGTGTGAGTGTGAGAGAGAGAGAGAGAAAGAGAAAGAGAGTGATTGAATCTGAATGGTAGTAAATGGCTAGAGACAGCGAGAGTGTGTGTGTGTGTGGTGTTACATACAGATTGAGTCTGAATGGTAGTAAATAGCTACTATGGGTAGGTGGGGAAATGACATTAGCAAATAGCGACAGGTGACAATTGCAGACAGACCTGTATCCTCTCCACCTTTTCTGGGCACAAGTCCAGTTTGGCTTGTTGGATTATGTAGGCTCAAGAAAGCAATAGCCCCATGTCATGAAACCCTAACTGGCAACAAGAGGGCTGGCCACAGCAACAAGCATTTGAGTGAAATCTCCTTGCATAAAGAGGCTGGAGAGAAGTCTCATTAAGAAGGAAAGACAGACTTGATGAGGCCACTGTAATCACTGCTGTCTCCCCTTGATGTGGAAAAATAGAGCTTTACCTTCCCATCTAACACCACTACAAAGTCCATGCGCTCTGGATAACCCGAGCTATTTCCTCTTGTTTACCTCCTCCCAATACTCTAATTTGTTTGTTGTAATTGTTTCTCCCTGCTCTAGCTTTGTCCTTCCCCTCGTTTCATTTCCATGAATCTTGCCACACTCTCTAACTTACTCACCATCATTTTTTGGCCTACATTTTCTATTGCAGACTAAGAGTAAATCAATGCCACATAAAGATATATCACTCAGTGCAGGGGCAGAGTAAACTATTTGGTAGCAAGGTCCCAAAGGACCACATACAAGACAGAAGTAGTATGAGAAGATATCTCACTGTGTGCTGTAACTAAGGTTCTTTGAGATGGCTGTCACTGTGTGCACTCCACTTTAGGTGACTCTCCATCCCTGCACTTGTAATTTGAGATTTTTAGGAACAGTGCCAGGTTGGGTTGCACAACCTCATTCAATCATGCATTCTGTTCTTCCCCCTCCTCATTGAATTATACAGCGCTATGTGATCAACACCCCCTGGATTCCTTCCCGACTGCAGTATCTATAGTGTGAAAAAACCCAAAGTAGAGGGGAAGAGGGAGGATAGTGAAACATCCATAGGGACAAACATCTCCAAGAACCTCAGGGTATGTCTACACTAGCCACCCTAGTTCAAACTTTATTTATCCTGGGCTTTATTTGCATGTTCCCGTGCACCGCCATTTTTAAATGCCCGGTAGTTCGAACTCCCTGCCCACGGCTACACGCGGCACAGGCTAGGTAGCTCGAATTTAAGCTCCTATTTCGAACTACCATTGTTCCTCATTGCAGGAGGAATAATGGTAGTTCGAATTAGGAACTTTAATTCGAACTACCTAGCCCGTGCTGCATGTAGCCGCAGGCAGGGAGTGCGAACTACCGGGCATTTAAAAATGGCGGTGCACAGGAGCATGCAAATAAAGCCCAGATATTTAAATCCCAGGCTTCATTTGCAAGTTCGAATGACTACATTAGCCACCCTAGTTCGAACTAGGGTGGCAGTGTAGACATACCCTCAGTTACTGCATAGGATAACCTTTTCTTCTATTTCGTTAAGAGGTGTCTGTGGGGGTGCAGCAGTTTAGCTGACTCTAGAGCAATGCCCCTTTGTGGAAAGGAGAGCTTTGGAGTTGCAGGCATAGTGGTTGATAAAATTGTCAGTCCAAGTAGAGTGTCTGATGTGGAATGTTGCTCTGTGGCATAGTGTTGTGTCAATGTATGGACTGTTGCCCAGGTGGCTATTTTGCAGATAATAAGCACATTGCTGAGGAAGGCTATCAATGTAGACAGCACTCTGGTGGAGAGAGCGCAGATCCCTGATGGTGATAAAGACAGCAAAAGTTAATGCAGCTAGGGATCCATTTTGACAGTCTTTGTTTAGGTATGGTGTCTCCCTTAGATTGTTCTGTGAGGGAAAGAAATAACTCTGGGTGTCTTTTTAATCTAAAAAGCTAGCACCCCATGAGCATCTAGGGCATGAAGTGTTGCTTTTCATTTGTTCCTCTGAAGTTTTGGGGAAAACTATGGGAGATGAAGGAGATGATGTAAATGGAATGATGAAACTATTTTAGGTCGAAACTTGGAGTGTGGTTGTAGGGCAACTTTATTTTTGAAAAATATTATGTATGGGGGATATGCCATGAGGGCCCCAGTTCTCTCACTTGTTGGGCAGATACGATAGTGACAAGGAAGGTCACCTTTACTAAGAGGTGCAGAAATGAGCATATTGCTAATGCTTCAAAGGGGGGGGGGGACACGTAAGACATTGCATCACCACACTGAAGTCCCTTGATGGAGTGCGGGAGCTTGTACTTCTGCCTAGAGATTATGAAGACCCTTGAGAGAACATTTAATGGTAGGGTAGATGAAGATTTGAGAACTCGTCTACTTTGTGGCAGAAAGTTGTGACTGCACTTTAATACTATTGGTAAAAAAGAGGTAATTGCCATTGTTTGCCTATTCTGGCATCATGTATGGAATTTCTTCCATCTGTGAAGATAGGTATACCAGGTAGTAGGCCTTCTGCTGTTTAAAATGATGTCCCTTATCTCCTCTGAACAGTCATTTCATTCTTGTAGCCATGCCTTGCCAAGTTTGGATGGTTGACCTGGCCCACATT